AATACAATCGTCTCTTCACTTGCTTCTTTTAGACCCTGCTTAAAAATGAAAAAACAAAATTCTTAAAGCTTTAATTTTAGCTTTAATTGAAAGTTAAAGGATTTAAATTTTACTCTTTCCAGTAAGCAAAATATTATGTGGTGTATTTCAAACAGAAATTATATTGATCGGAATAGTTTTTTTTTTTTTCAATAAAATAGATAAAACGACCATTTTTGACACATTTGTAAACAAAAGTTAATACTCGGTAATACTTAAGTAATATTTATTTCAAGTCAGATCAATTCAACTTTAAATTTGCTAAAAATCTTGCAAAAATAAAATATATTTCTGAAACGTTATTTGAGGAAAATTAGCAAATTTAAAGTTGAATTGATCTGACTTGAAATAAATATTACTTAATTATAATAAAATGTTGTATGCAAACATTTCTTAACCGTCTTGTTTTTATGACTTATTAATCGATTTATTGACAGCCGAATGTTTTAATAGTTTAGTATGGTGGAGCACACGATAAATTTTATACGAGGATTTTTTCCCCACAAGAGGGGACAACCCTCAAAACACGTGACCTTGTAATGATAATGTTCTAAATTTGAACAACCATACTTAGAAATTCCGAACGTATATTACGCATACAAAAACAAATTGAAATTCTTTTAAAAATATTCGGGGTCGTCAGATTGTAATAAGCGTTACAATATATGAATAGTAAATATAATTTTACTTAATAATAATATTCCCTCAGAGTTATCAAACTGAAAATGAATTTTAAAAGATTTAAAACTTTATAAATTACTCAATTTACTATTGTAATAAATGAAAATAAATCTTGTTAAAATACGTCTTTCATTCAATTTTTTTTCATCAAAATATATTGTTTTTAATATATAAGCAATTGAAGGCTTCTCTAATAATATATAATGTCTTAGTTTTATTGCAATATTTATTTTTCGATTCAGAACAGGTTTTTGGTAAAACGGGGCCCAATTTTACAAAAAAATTCGGTGATTTAAATTGTTCAAAACATTCTGCTTTTAACAAATATTGACACTAAAATTACCACGTTGAATTTCTCAAGTTTTCCTAAAATTAAGTGGGTAAAATACATGTAAAAATACATGTAAAAAATTAGTCCAAGATTTTCTAATAAAAATGTCAAAAATAATTTAATTCATTTGTGGATAAGTCCTTAAAATTACATTAAAATCCGACAAGTATTTGATTTTTTGCAAGAATTTCTAAATTAATAAGTCTATTCAGACAAAAAAGATGCTAAAAGTTAGTACAATTGATAACGCTAATCAAAATTTCGAATGTTCTAAAATGGAGTAAAACATTTAATTAAATATTCAAAAATATACTTTGATCCTTCTTCTTAATAACAACATAAAGATTCTGACAATAAAATTAAGTTTTCCTTAGGTTTGTAGCATGTTTACATTACCTACTATAAATATTGTAAGATTTTTGCAGGGAGGTTCAAAATGCCGATAATTATACTTATATATGTATATATTCTTGAGTAAATCATAAATAAAAAGTGGTGGGCCCAATGAGAGAACATGTCATTTTCAGCATGGTACCCTAGATAATAAACCCCATTTGTTCGATTTTGAGTAATAACCATAACTGTTTTTTCCTATTCCGCCATTTTGCTTTCTACATCGATCAGGGCTACAATAGTCGACAGCCTCGCTCTGATTCTGTTGTCAACAATGGCTGAAGTCTCCTTCCGGTTGAAAATTTATTCGTAAAAATCCTGTTCTAGTGTAACGTTTGCAGACAATAAACCAGGAACCGGATATTGAGTCCCGAACTTATATGAAGCGTTCGTTTTTTTTTTTTTTTTTTTTTTTTTTTTGTAATCTTTTTACGTTATTTCATTTTTTTTTTCATATTATAAGAAAGTTTGGTTATAAGTATACATTATAATGAAACCAAAAGAGGAGAAAGAAAGTGGACAAACAAAAGAGAAAGAAAAAGAGAAAGCGGAATTGAGAGAGAGAGAGAGAGAAGCAAGAAAGAATAATACCTAAAGAGAAAAATAAAGTCAAAGCAAAAGAGAGAGAGAAAGAGTGTGTGTGTGTGTGTGTGTGTGTGGTAGAGGGAGAGAGAGAGAGATAGGAAGTGCACCTGAGAGAAAAAGAGAGAGTTAAACTGAAAAATAAAAAGAGTAAGACACAGAAATGGAAAAAAGACCAAGTGAAGCCAAAAGTGAGAGAGAGAGAGAGAGAAAGAGAGCAAGAGCAAGAGAGAGTTAAACCGAAAGAGAGTGAGAGAGAAAAGGCGAGTAATAATGAAAGAGAGAGTGAGGCCGAAGGAAAAAAAAGAGGGAATGAGGACGACAGAAAAAGCTGAAAATGAGACAGAAAGAGAAAAAAAGGAAAAGGATATGAAACCAAAAGAGAGGGAAAGAGAGGGAAAGAGAGTAACACTGAATGAAAGAATGAAGCCGAAGGAGAAAGAGAGAATGTGGACGACAGAAAAAGAGAGAAGGAGACCGAAAGGGAAAAAAAGAGTGAGAGTGAAAAATAGAGTGGAGATTAAAATCTAAAGAGAGAATGAAAACCGACTGAGAACTACAGAATGCCTGTGAGAAAAATGGCGCTAGGTCCCACAGTCTTTTTATCCATCAGGAACATGTTAAAAGTTCGATGCATCAAGACTTCACGCAAAAATAGTCAGAACCCCACATTAATTCGTATATGGTTGGTTCCCTATTGATTATGGCTGCCACACATTTTACTGGTATGGTCTAATAGGGAAGGTACTTATGGGATAGTGATAGTTTCCGAGCATAGAGAGACGCCTTTTATGAAAATATCGATAATAGAAGGGAGCACAGGGAAAAGTAGATTCATGCCTGTTCCACGTAAAATAAGGCAACAAATTTGATATCACAATTATATTGAAGAGATTCTTAAGCGTGTATCTTAGTCTGGTACAAGAATAAACTTGTAGGTAGCAAGATTATAAAGCGCCAATTTTAAATGTGTTGAAGTTCTGCCTGCTGTGAAAGTCAACTTTCTAACTCCAGCTTTTATTTGAGATCAAACCACTGATGTCAATTAGAAATAAGCATTTATTCTAAGAACTCGACAGAACAAGGTATTTGCTAACATTTACAAAAGTACACCTTTATAGTAAATTTTCAATTGTTTTCTTAAATAATACTTTCTTCAAAGAAGTGGTGAGTTTATTCAGGATTTCCTTAAGTTTGTCATGATTCTGAAGATTCCGATGAGTAAAGAAGTGCTTGAGACACACACTTGAAAAAGAAAGAAAGAAAAAGAAAGAAAGAAAAAGAAAGAATGAAAAAGAAAGAAAAAGAAGAAAGCATAATCTTAGGAAAAAGACATCGAATAAATCGGCCGCATACAATGAAGTCTTCATTATCAACTAATTCGAGTGTTTAATGCTTTCGTCTTTTCTTCATCTTCAAAATAAACATGAACATTATCAGGCAACAAAAGAAAAATATAGAAAACCCGAAGGAAATATCAACCTACAATGAGAAGAGTTCTTTTGCAGCCTTCTTTTGTGGAGCATGTTTACATTATGGTATTCTGATTTTTAGCGATTTCGTGAAGGTACCTATTAGAAACAGAGTAAGACTTTTTCAAGCAATTTATTTCATTGCCGCAACATTCCACCTAATGATAGTGTTCTTAAAAATTATTTAACAACACTCTATTCATGTCAGCTCTATTGACTTACCTTTCTAAAACTAATAAATCTTTTTAAATCTTGCAAGGATTTTCTTATTTTTCTTTGATGTACCGTGTCCCTTCAGGGCATAGGTGATCATGGCTCTCCACTTCATCCTATCCCTTATAGCTTTCAATATGTTTTGCCATTTTGCAAGGAGTGATCCTAGAGCTGCCAAATCTTGCATCTATTAATTTCAACTCTTCTTATTAATAGCTGTATTGTTCCTTTCCATGCCCGATCGTAGTCTGAAAGGTTCATAGGCTGAATTTGAAGAAGAGTTGCTTCTTCTTTTATGTGCCGTGTCCCTTCAGGACGTAGGTGATCATGGCTCTCTACTTTCTCCTATTCCTCGTAACTCTCAATATGTTTTGTCGTTTTGCTACTTCTCCAAATCCTGTCCCGTCATCCACTTGCTTAAGCCCGCTAAGTATATCCCGCTTTTGCTTTCCCTTGTCTCTCTTTCCCTCTATCCAACCTGTGAGTAGCAGATTCTCCACGCCCTCCTTTCTCATTACGTGTTCCAGACATTTTCGGCTGCCTCTTCCTGATGTTAAGTAAATGCTTCCTCCCTGTTTGCATCCTGTCCAAAACCTCATCGTTGCTCATTTGTTCGGTCACAAACAAATCGGTCCACGAAGAAATTTTCCCAACAAAGATCGTCTCGAGAGACCAACGGTGACGAAAGGGAAGAAAACACTAGAAAGACAGTTACCTGATAGTTTTATGGAAGGGGATTCTCCTTCCAAACAATAGCGTTGTACCCTTAACTCCCCTCCGTAGAAATATGGCAAAATTAAAGTTTCGTCTATATTTTTTTCTTTAGTATTTTCTATTTGTGTTAGCGTTTTGGAATTTCATTGGATCTGTGTGTGAATTTATGCCCAAAGTACTGTTGTAAAAGCAAAGACTGCGGGTGGGGGGAGTCAAGGAACGGATTAATCTATTTTACATTAATACGTATGAGGAAAATAATCTCGGTTTACGAACATTTCGGGTTACGATTAGCAGACTCAACTGTACAGTTAGTTAAATGCAAATGTGTGGTAATATGATACCAAATACAGTAGATTGAAAGTGTGCGGAAGCGACTCAGCAAAAAAAGAAAAAACACAGATGTAATGTTAACAGGAGACATACTGAATAAATTCGTTTCAGATTTAAAAAAAAAACTTGTCCCTTTTCCGCTGCAATTTATTAATTGCATTTTCTTTGATTTTTCTTGTTTGGCATCCGCTATTTTCTTTCTTTCTTTTTTTCTTTCTTTCTTTCTATTTCTGTAACATTTTATGTCTTCTTTCTTTTTCCACTTTCTTTCCTTCTGTCTTTCGATTTTTGTAACATTTATTATCTTCTTTCTTTTTTACTTTCTTTCTTTCTTTAACACTTATTTTATTCATTCTTTTTTATATTTTCTTTCTTTATTTCCTTCTATTTTTGTAACGTGTATTTTCTTCTTTTTTTCCATTTTCTTTCTTTATTAACATTTATTTTCTTCCTTCTGTCTTTTTGCATTTTGTTTCTTTCTTTCTTTCTCACACTGTAACATTTATTATCTTTTTCTTTCTTTTTCTATTTTCTTTCTTTCTATTCCTATAACATTTATTGCTCCCTTTCTTTTCCTATTCCCTTTCTTTCATTTCTTTTCTTTCTATTTCTGTAATATTTATTGTCGTTTTTCTTTCTTTTTTATTTTCCTTCTTTCTTTATTTCTTCCTCTTTCTGTAACGTTGTTGTTGTCTGTTTTTTTCCTAATTTCTTTCTTCCTTTCTTTTATTTTTTCTTTCTACGTATGTAACATTGAATGAGTTTTTTCTTTCTTTTCCCATATTCTCCCTATCATTCTTACGAATTCTGTAACAATAATTGTCTTCTTTGCTTTTCTATTTTCCATCTTTCTTTCTTTCTTTCTTTTATTCTCTTTCCTTTCTGTAACAGTTATTTCTTCTTTCTTTCTTTTATTCTCTTTTCTTTCTGTAACAGTTATTTCTTCTTTCTTTCTTTTATTCTCTTTCCTTTCTGTAACAGTTATTTCTTCTTTCTTTCTTTTATTCTCTTTTCTTTCTGTAACAGTTATTTCTTCTTTCTTTCTTTTATTCTCTTTTCTTTCTGTAACAGTTATTTCTTCTTTCTTTCTTTTATTCTCTTTCCTTTCTGTAACAGTTATTTCTTCTTTCTTTCTTTTATTCTCTTTTCTTTCTGTAACAGTTATTTCTTCTTTCTTTCTTTTATTCTCTTTCCTTTCTGTAACAGTTATTTCTTCTTTCTTTCTTTTATTCTCTTTCCTTTCTGTAACAGTTATTTCTTCTTTCTTTCTTTTATTCTCTTTTCTTTCTGTAACAGTTATTTCTTCTTTCTTTTATTCTCTATTCTTTCTGTAACAGTTATTTCTTCTTTCTTTCTTTTATTCTCTTTTCTTTCTGTAACAGTTATTTCTTCTTTCTTTCTTTTATTCTCTTTCCTTTCTGTAACAGTTATTTCTTCTTTCTTTCTTTTATTCTCTTTTCTTTCTGTAACAGTTATTTCTTCTTTCTTTCTTTTATTCTCTTTTCTTTCTGTAACAGTTATTTCTTCTTTCTTTCTTTTATTCTCTTTCCTTTCTGTAACAGTTATTTCTTCTTTCTTTCTTTTATTCTCTTTTCTTTCTGTAACAGTTATTTCTTCTTTCTTTCTTTTATTCTCTTTTCTTTCTGTAACAGTTATTTCTTCTTTCTTTCTTTTATTCTCTTTTCTTTCTGTAACAGTTATTTCTTCTTTCTTTCTTTTATTCTCTTTCCTTTTTGTAACAGTTATTTCTTCTTTCTTTCTTTTATTCTCTTTTCTTTCTGTAACAGTTATTTCTTCTTTCTTTCTTTTATTCTCTTTTCTTTCTGTTACAGTTATTTCTTCTTTCTTTCTTTTATTCTCTTTTCTTTCTGTAACAGTTATTTCTTCTTTCTTTCTTTTATTCTCTTTTCTTTCTGTAACAGTTATTTCTTCTTTCTTTCTTTTATTCTCTTTCCTTTCTGTAACAGTTATTTCTTCTTTCTTTCTTTTTATTCTCTTTTCTTTCTGTAACAGTTATTTCTTCTTTCTTTTTTCTTTTATTCTCTTTCCTTTCTGTAACAGTTATTTTTCTTTCTTTTCTTTTATTCTCTTTCCTTTCTGTAACAGTTATTTCTTCTTTCTTTTCTTTTATTCTCTTTTCTTTCTGTAACAGTTATTTCTTCTTTCTTTCTTTTATTCTCTTTTTCTTTCTGTAACAGTTATTTCTTCTTTCTTTCTTTTATTCTCTTTCCTTTCTGTAACAGTTATTTCTTCTTTCTTTCTTTTATTCTCTTTTCTTTTCTGTAACAGTTATTTCTTCTTTCTTTCTTTATTCTCTTTTCTTTCTGTAACAGTTATTTCTTCTTTCTTTCTTTTATTCTCTTTCCTCTCTGTAACAGTTATTTCTTCTTTCTTTCTTTTATTCTCTTTCCTTTCTGTAACAGTTATTTCTTCTTTCTTTCTTTTATTCTCTTTTCTTTCTGTAACAGTTATTTCTTCTTTCTTTCTTTTATTCTCTTTTCTTTCTGTAACAGTTATTTCTTCTTTCTTTCTTTTATTCTCTTTCCTTTCTGTAACAGTTATTTCTTCTTTCTTTCTTTTATTCTCTTTCCTTTCTGTAACAGTTATTTCTTCTTTCTTTCTTTTATTCTCTTTTTCTTTCTGTAACAGTTATTTCTTCTTTCTTTCTTTTATTCTCTTTCCTTTCTGTAACAGTTATTTCTTCTTTCTTTCTTTTATTCTCTTTCCTTTCTGTAACAGTTATTTCTTCTTTCTTTCTTTTATTCTCTTTCCTTTCTGTAACAGTTATTTCTTCTTTCTTTCTTTCTTTTTTATTCTCTTTCATTTGTTCTTTTCTTTATTTCTGTAACATTTATCGTCTTCTTTCATTCTATTTCTATTTTCTTTATTTAACATTTACTGTCTTCTTTCTTTATTTTTTTATCTTATTCATTCTTTCTTTTTTTTTTCTTTCTTTTTTTTTTTTTTTTTTTTTTCTTTCTTTCTTTTACGCCGGTGTTCCCCTACGGCTCTATCCTGTGTCCTACACTGTTTCTGATCCTCATCAACGATCTTTCTGATGATATCAGTTCTCAATTCGACATCTACGCAGACGACACTACCATTTACTCCTGTCTCAATAGTAAATTCGTCATTGCTGACAAACTTAACCTGGCTGTTGGTCTCAAAAACGACCTCTAATCTGTAATTGACTGGGGCAGGAAATGGCTTGTAAATTTTAATACCCCCAAAACGAAACTGCTTTCATTTACCCAGCACTGAGAAACCTCCCTGCCTCCTATCATCACGGCTGATGCACAACCTCACGAGATCGTTTCTCTGTGCTTTCTTGGTCTCAGGTTTTCCACTGACCTGAGGTGGAACAACTACATTGAATCAATAGCTTCATCTACCGTAAGGAAAGTTGGTTCTCTGTGTCGCGCCAGAAGGTTTTTTTCTTGTCTCAGTCCATCCATCAAATCTACCATTTGTCCTTGAATACTGTTGCCATATATGGTCCGCTGCCCCCGCTGTTCATCTCGAGGTTCTCGACAAAATCCAAAGATGAATATGCAATGTGATTGATCCTGATCTGGTGTCTCGACTCACTTTATCACAGACGCGATTGGATTCCCTCTGTCTTTTCTACAAATATTTTCATGGCAACTGCTCTGACGAGCTACTTTCACTGGCGTCCAAACTGCATGAATTTAAGCGTGCTACTAGTTTGGCATCCCGTCCCACCATTTCACTGTCGAAACTGTTAAATGTAACCGCCTCTTTTATCCCAAAAGCTTCTTCTCTGGCACTTCCCGACAGTGGAACTCCCTTCGTCCTACTGTTTCCCTGATAGCTAAAACCTTAAAATATTTAAATGTAATGTCAATCGACATCATCTGTGATCCCCATCCTTCTCTATATCCTTTCCTCAAACACCCCCCTCTTTACTCTTGCTCTCACTCTCTGTAACTCCTTGCGTACTAATGGCAGTCCCGCTTTGCTTGGGGTGAAATGCTTTCAAAAATTATTTATTTATATATTTATTGTCTTCCTTCTTTGCTTTTCTATTTTCATTCTTCCTTTTCTTTCTATCTCTGTAACATTTATTGTCTTCTTTCTTTTTCTTTTTTTCTTTCACTCTTTCTTTCTTCCTTTCTTTCTATTTCTGTAAAATTTTGCCTTCTTTCTTGCATTATTCGATTTTCTTTCTTATTTAACATCAATTGCTTTCCGCAAGGAAAGTTGGCTCCCTGTGCCGCGCCAGGAAATTTTTCACCCCGGAATCGATCCTCCAGATCTACAAATCAACAATTCGCCCTTGCATGGAGTATTGTTGCCATATATGGTCTGGAGCCCCTACTGTTTGCCTCGGGGTTCTTGATAGGCTCCAGAGGCGGATATGCAATATAATTGGCCCTGTTCTGGCATCTCGTCTACAGTCGCTCTCTCTCACAGATGCGCAATCGCCTCTTTTTTACAATACTTTCATGGTAATTGCTCCGAGGATCTGCATTCGCTGGTTCCCAGACTTCATGAGTTCAAGCGCCCTACGAGGCTGGCATCTCGCTCTCACCCTTTCACTGTCGAAACTTCTAAATGTAGCCGTCTCTTCTACTTCAATAGCTTCATGTCTCGCACCTCTCGCCTGTGGAACTCCCTTCCCTATTCCATTTTCCCTGAGAGCTATAATCACCAACTATTCAAATATAATGTCAATCGACATCTCCAGTTGCCTTGATCTATCCACTATCCTTCTCCTCATCCTTTCCTCTATCACTCTTATCTGATCTTGCTCCAAATCTTCTGTAACCCCATGCGTCCTAGTGGATTCTCGCCTTGCTTGGGGTGAAACGCTTAAAAAAAAATTATTGTCTTCTTTCTTTCTTTTTTCTATTTTCTTTCTTTTTATTTTTTACCTTTCTTTCTTACTAATTCTATAACATTTGTTCTTTTCTTTCTTTTTTTATTCTCTTTCCTTCTTTCTATTTTTACAACATTTATTGTATTTTTCATTCTTTTTCTGTTTTCTTTCCTTTTCTGTAATATTTATTGTCTTCTTCCTTTATTTTTTCTATTTTATTCATTTTTTCTTTCCTTCTTTCTTTTATTCATTCTTTACTTTTCTCTAACATTTATTATCTTTTTTCTTTTCTATTTTCTTTCTTTTCTTTCTTTCTTTCTTTCTCTTTCGGTAACATTTCTTGTCTTCCCCCTTTTTTCTATTTTCTTCTTTCTTTCTTTTATTCTTTTTTCTCTTTCGGTAACATTTATTTTCTTCTCTTCTTCATTTTCTATTCTCTTTGTTTCTTTCTTTCTACTTCTGTAACATTTATTGTCTTCCTATTTTTATACTTTCGCTCCTTCTTTCCTATTTTCTTTCTTTCTTTTTATGGTTCTTTCTTTTATTCTTTCTTTCTATGTCTGTATCATTGTCTTTCTCCTTTTTTTCTATTTTCTTTCTATTTTTGTAACATTTATTATTTTTTCCTTTCTTTTTCTTTCTTTCTATCTATTTCTATAACATTTGTTCTTTTCTATCTTTTTCTATTTTCTTTCTTTCATTCTTTCTTTCTATCGCTGTTATTTTCTTCTTTTTCTTTTTGTATTTTCTTTCCTTCTTTCTTCTATTCTTTCTTTCTATTTCTGTAACACTTGTCCTCTTTTTCAAATATAATTTCTTTCCATATCACCAGTTTTCACTGTCGTTAAGAGGAGACGTTAGAAATAAGAGTTTTTAATCTTAGAAAAGGTAATATTATCAGGTTTTGTCAGCTGTATTATTGGTCTGTTGGGTTAGAGTGTTCTATTCTAACTCAGGGATTCGAATAACGATTCCCAAACGCAAACAGTCACTTCTTATTAATTCATTTAATTCGTCCACTTGTAAAATATCCAATAACCACAACGTATAAATAAACGTCATTATGAAAATTCTTTTATTCATACTGTTTAACTGTTTTAATAATATATTCAACTATCTTTTACAGTTCGTTCATATATATCTGCTAATATATATATATATATATATATATATATATATATATATATATATATATATATATATATATGAAAATATATAAAAAATAGGAAGGAACTGGTTAGGTTTTTGTGCCTCCATGAGAAATTGCACATTATTAAACTTCTAAACAATAATAATCTATTAAACAATAGACATGATTTAACGATTTTTTGTCGTCATCATCAGATTTATGGTTTGAATAATTAGCTAAAAACAAGCATACAATATAATAACTTGATTAATCCATAGCCCAATCATCAGATTCATGGTCTGAATAATTAGCTAAGAACAAGCATACAATATAATAACTTTCATAATCCATGGCCCAAATAAATAGTTTAAATACCCTACAAAAAAGATAACCCTTTATGAAGTCGTCAAAAAACAAACGTTACGGCGGTTTTTTTTTTATATGCACAATTCCCTTTCATCATAAAAAAATAAAATAAAAAAATAAATAAATCTCCATAGACATGCAAACTAGACGAGGATTAATACATCTTCTGTTTCAAATTTAGACACCCCCACCTTACCCTGACTTGACATCTATGAAAGTAACTCTATACTGATACTTATTATTAACACCCAACACACACCTACCCAATTTAAACAATTCGCCCTAGCTGTTACCATGGAAATTTTGATTTCAATTATTAAAACACGTAAATTTCAGAAATACGTTATTCCAAAAAAAAATTCGCTTGAAGATGGAACAAAACTTACTTTAACTCAATTTAATTCAAATAATTATATTGAAGTTTTCGGCTCTTGTTTTGAAACATGAGACCTCTTATGTCGCGAGTTGGAATCATATTTTAAATAAATAAATATATATATATATATATATATATATATATATATATATATATATATATATATTAAAATATAATAAAAATGCTTAAACACTAATATTCCATGGTCATGGTTGTGTGTGTATGTCACCACAAAATGTATCCTATCCGGTTACATCTTTAATGTATTAGACATCCGACAACATTCATATTTCTCTGACTTAAACCGTCTTTGACTCCCCTCTTTAAAACTTCTCTCTGTTAAATTTTAATCCCCCACCTTCTCTCGTCTGTCACCCCTCTCTATAGCTCTAACATTCGTGCCACACTCTCTCTAAATTTTATTTTTTTATTTCCGGAGTTGTTTTTTTCTGTTTTCTTTTTGAATTTGTAGGTCTGATGAATTGGATCGTATTTACGATTCCAATGGAATAAATTATGACCATGGAATATTAGTGTTTAAGCCTTTTTATTATATCCTTACTCTGTCCTGGACATTGAGTTCTACCTGGATTCTATCCTCTTGAATTTTTTTTTTATACAAAATATATATGTATGTGTATGCAGTATGTATATATATTTATATATTTTGCATATGTATGTGTATATTTACCACTAATATATATATATATATATATATATATATATATTTAATCGTATGAATGAACCCTTTTGACTTTTCATCGGTATGGCTGATGCTAACCTCCACGACAGTGACTCCTTGCCCCTAAAAGGTCTAACGTTTTCCGCTGGCATGAAGTGGACAGATTATATTGACTCAACTGCTCAGTCTGTTGCTAGGGAGGTTGATTCCCTGTGTCGTCATGAAGAATTATTCTTGCCAGAATGCATCTTATATATTGAAATGTCTACCCTGAGATAATGCTTTGAATATTACTGCTGCATCTGATCTGGTACTCCTGCTATGTTTTTAGTGATTCTTGATATAATCCAAAGAAGAATCTGCAATGTTATTGCTCCTGACCTGGCATCTCGGTATCAGTCTCTTTCTCACCGCCGTAACGTAGCTTCCCTATGTCTTTCTTAAAATACTTTCAT